ATGAAAAAGAGCAGTTTACAAGTGCTACGTATTCCAGAAATCGCTAGCTTCAATTTCGCGTTCACCGGATGACAAATATTAGCCAATTAGTGTTCGGCTTTTTTTTGCTTGTCTTTGTTGACGCCCGGTTCCTGCGTTTTCAGTTGTGTATTTGGGGCATTCAGGGATTTCAGCTTTATGGCCGAAGTCGGCCGACTTGTCGAGGCTGTCCTCTCTGTGAAGCATAAGAGAAAAGTGAGCGCATACATGTCTCAAATGAATGCCTTCCTTTAGTGGAAACGTCGACTGTGCATCCTCGAAAAACTCTCGACATTCACAAGTACGTCTTTCGTGCGTGCTCTCTAATTACTGTGCAGATTCGTTAAAGATTTCCGTGGTGGACCAGGAAAAATCCGTCTGCTGCAGCGAAGATGTGGTTCACGCTTTCATTTCATTTCTGGAGCCAAATCGTCAGGGGACGGTGATGCTTGTATGCAACTACAGGGTTCGTTGCATTTCTTTTGACCACTTCGAGGAGCTGAACCGATGGGTTAGAATCTTGAACACTCATCTCACTTGTGAGTTCAAGCACTGGTTGAACTTTGTTTTCTCACAACGTAAGCCCAATGATTTTGCCGTACCCTGTCACAGCCTATTTTCCGCGGCCTCTCGATATATCTTCCTCGCAATCGAATTTTTCCTGAAGTCTTCACAGTCGTCATAGGCAGAGACAATTGACCGGTTTTTGTTGACGAGGCTGTGTTGTCCCACGTTCCCACACTTTCCAGTTTGAACTTTTCTGCTAGTTACGCACGGAGCCCCACTAATTTGGATAAGTACCACTTAATTTCCCTTCCTTCACGCTGGTTCGTGAGAACTTGGCGGTAATTTGGCTACTCCACTTGGGATTGCAGTCAAAACAACAGGTCCAACCCGGATTCAGATTTAATGCAGGAGGACTTCGGGTGTAGTTAGTCTACGTCAGCTGTTATTCCAGGTGTCTCGTCATCAATAACATCCTCAGTGGTAAACCTTACAGATATAGCCGTCTCAGAGAAACAACCGTACTGCGGTATGGTGGCTTATGCGCTTCCACAACCCGTTTGAGAGTGCACGTATCCCAGTCACATTAGTCTCACCATAGGTTGTTCAATGAGTAAAGCTGTTAACAACACGGTCTCCTCCAGGTTGGGGTTTGCAAAACGTCTGGCTGCTTCCTCCTTTGGACTTCAGACTGCTCTGGTTGTCCTTAGTCGACCACCACCGACCCAGAAAGCCGGTAGTGCCTGAAGATTATTCCCGCTGATCCATGCAACCGGTCCTCGGGAACAACCTGCGAGAGAAACCATCAAGAATCAGAACAAAGAAGAACGCCTCGTCAGTTGGGCTGAATACTTCGAACAACGATTATCATGGTCACCAGCTGGTACCCGTCTGGAGCCAACAGGTGACATAGAACCCTGGACTGTGAGCATGGAACTGGCTACGGCCTCGGAAGCTTATGACTGCATGTGTTCTCTCAGGCGCACTTCGAACATTATCATGGTCACCAGCTGGTACCCGTCTGGAGCCAACAGGTGACATAGAACCCTGGACTGTGAGCATGGAACTGGCTACCTACGCGGAAGCTTATGACTGCATGTGTTCTCTCAGGCGCCACGGAGCCTCTGGTCCGGATGACTTCTCACCCGCATTGTTCAGAGATTGGGGTGAAGTACTCAGTCAACGCTTGTCTGATCTGTTTGCTTGCATTTGGGTAAAGAAATCTGTCCCGGACAACTGGCAAGAGTCGACGATAGTGCCCATCTTGAAAAACGGGACTTGTATTGAGTGTGGCAATTACCGGGGGATCGACTTGAACCCTATCGTAACGAGATTGTTGGCGTCACTGGGGTTTTGTCGCCTTACGGTGGCTCGTGAAACACTGACTCGAGAGCAGCAAGCAGGATTCCGGCCAGGTAGGGATTGCGTTGACCAAATCTCCACACTTCGTCAGGTGCTAGAACAACACCATAAATATAAGCGACCCACAATTCTAGCGTTCCCGGATTTCGAAGGCACATTCGACCCCGTTGACCGGTCTGTTCTACTAGACACGCTTGCCCACCTAGGAATGTCCCGGAAGTTCGTGAACATAATAAGTTCTTTGTGTATTTTTTTTTAGACTTTCGGACGTGTGAGATTATACGGCGATCACTGCAAAAGCTCCCGTACACAGCGGTGTCCGTCAGGGATGCCCACTCTTCCCATCCCTGTTTAGCTTTGTGATCGATGAAATCATGAGACACGCTGGAAGGTCTCCAAAACGCCAGTGTCCAAATAGTCTGTGACAAACTTTGGCGATCTAGAATATGCAGAAGGCATCGTCCTCTTCTCCAAAGAGGAGGAGAAGGCGCAAGTCTTTTTGGATGGACTGACCAAAGTTATCGCGTCATTTGGTATGCATTGTGTATCCACAAAGTGCAAGGTTATGCTCGTGGACATGCGGTCACTGAACACGTCACTTCCAATCCAGGGAGAGGCGCTCGAGTTTGTGGAGCGTTTTACATATCTTGGAAGTTGTATTAGTTTTGATTGTAGTGCAACAGATGAGGTCAATGTGTGAATCTGCAAGGCTCGGGTCGCGGTTGCTAATTTGAAACACCTATGGCGTCAAGGTGTTGTATCCCTGAATCTCAAGGGATGTGTGTATCAAGCTACCATACAGGCTGTTTTACCGTATGGCTGTGGGACTTGGCCTGTTCGAGCAGCGAAATTGAGACGTCTTCAGGTGTTCGACAATCGTTGTCTCAGAAACATAGCTTGTGTGGGTTGGTGTCAGCTAGTCCGTAACGAGGCAATTAGAAAGCGAGTTTTTGGCTGTTCAACGGGTACTTCCATTGAAGAATGTCTCCAGCACCAGAAGCGTATACCTAACCATCGTTTTCCGAAGAGAGTGCTGTTTTCCGTTCCCAATTCAGATTGGCGGAAGCAGAGAGGTTGCCAACTGTTGACCTGGTAGACGGATATGAGAGGGATTACGAAACATTTGGGTGCAGTCGGTGCTACTCGCCTTCCAGGATGGGACCGCGTGATCCCCACTGCGCTTGGTTCGAGAGCCTGCAAGATATGACTGCTAACTGATGTCAGTGGCGTCCTTGTCGTCAGTTTGTATCCAGCTCGCCTGAATGAGTGTTTGGAGGTGTAAGCACCTCAGAATGATTGTAGTAAGCCAGCAGTAAGTCCTTACCCGTCCATATTTATTCTTTTTTCCACAATAAGGCTTTCATGTAAACCATGGTTGTACGGCAGCGAAGCATCGGTGTTGAACACTGATGTCATGCAAGTGATGATGATGATGATAATGACTGCTTTGCAATCAAGTCTTTATCCAAAGACTTCGGTAGACAGCCCTAATCATTCTTCTCTATAGGCCTAAACTTTCTTGCAGTATTGCAGCCAGTATCTAGCTATAAAGTGAGGTAAAGACCACCTGCAATGATTGAAACGTCGGATAATTTCATTTAGTTTATCCGTTGTGTAGTGATTAGTATTTTCATAACGAGCCAACAGCTCACAGTGCCTATGCTCCTTCAGAGATTGGAATTCGCTTGGCAAGGACGCAATGTGTAATAGGAAAAACTTGTTCAGCTGTATCACCCTTCCGGTGCCTAGCTGCTATGCCACCAGAAATAATCACGAGTGCTGGGATATTACCAGGTTGCCCAAAGCTAGACAGGGGAAATCGAAAAGCAGTCGTCGAGTTCGAACCACGGAAGTTCCGATCAGTAAATTCGTGCTCTTATCACTTAAGCAATCTTGTCCCCAATATGTATAGGATTTGTTTAGCGATAGTGAATCAGGTTTGATGGTTCGGCGGTGATGCAGATTGAATCATAACAGAACAGTTCTTATCCAACATGATGCTTCGTTGTTGTCAATCTCCAGCGAAAAATTCATCCTACAGTCTACCACCCGGTGATTTAATAATGCCTTGTTTATCAGGACGGTATGAACTGAGCCGTACTTGAGTGGAGAGATTTCGCATACTCGTGCGAGAAGTTCACAATGATCCGGCCAGTTCAGTAACAACTATAAACACCTCGAAGCATACTCGTGAAGTTCACAATGATCCGGCCAGTTCAGTAACAACTATAAACACCTCGAAGTCTGTTTTTATACCCCTAGAGCCTGTCTACCTACCTGCCGTTAATGTTCGCACACTGAAGCAAGCAGGACAAAAGGCGGCTCTTGCTCGTACGCTGGATTCCATCTGCATTGATGTATGCTGCCTCTTAGAAACAAGGCTACAGGACGCAAGTACTGTGTTCGAACCGACTAGTCCCTATCTCTGTTGCAGGTTCCGGCTGCGCACCTCTAGTGATGCAGAGGCCTCTGCAGCTGGATATGCTGGAGTGGGTGTTGTTTTGAGTGACCGAGTGGAAGCGTCCATGCTTGATTGGATATCCGTTGATAGTCGCCTCTGTGCGGTTTGTTTGGCAACATATGTGAGAAAATCTATAAGAAGTGAGGTCCATCGCACCGTTTATTGTGTTTGCTTACGCCCCAACTGACTGTAGCTCTGCATCTGCAGAGGACAGTTTCCATGACACTCTAGGTGTCCTTTTACATCGGGCTAAAAGCTCGGATATCGTTGTGGTTGCTGGTGATATTGAAGTCCAGGTAGAGAAACTAAGCACCGATAGGGCCCGATTGGGTGTTCGTCTGAGATTGGACACGAGACGCATGGATGACGAAGACCGCCTGCTTCAAATGTGTACCGGTCACATACTGTTTCTTTGTAGTACGAATTTCCGGAACAGCGGAAATCGCTTGACAACGTGGTGCCCACCAACAAACCAGTCACGAACCCAAATAGACCCCACCGCCGTCAGTTGTCGGTGACGAGGGTCGACTACTACTTGCCGCTCCTTCTGGAACACCAGCGTGGACTCCGACCATGCACTTGTACGCTGCTGCTTTTCATTGCGCTTTTCAAGTCTATACAAAACACGCACACCTCACTCAGCCAGTGAGTAACTAGTGGACCAAGGAGTCAAAAGGAATTATCAGAAGCGGCTCGTCAAACGCCTGCCGAACGGTACGATGTCGGATATAAACAGCCACTGGGAAAAGATATCCAAAGCACTACCCAGAGCCGGAACGTCTGCTTGCGGGAAAATCCAGCGAACCTCATCCAAACATTGAACTTCTGATTACTCTGACAGATTCCTCCTGGTCACAGCCACAACTCCAACCGACGCACCATTCGACACCAGTTGAAACTGAGTGTCCGGGCAGACCAACAAGCTTGATGGAACCGAAAGGCCGAATAAATGGAAAATGCAAGAATGCTGGAAAAGTGCGCAAACTGTTCCACTTGATTCGTTCGTCTTATCTTCGGAAACATCTTGTCAGAGAAATAATCAGAGACCAAAATGGCTCTCTTATATGCAACAATGAAGAGCGTTTGATCCTCTGGGCACAGTTATTCGAACAGCAATTCAGCTGGCCACCTGTTACCTCCAATCCAGAATCCTGGCCTTCAACAGAAGATTGGACTGTGAATATGGAGCCGCCTTCGGTCTCAGAAGTGTCC